CAATCACACACACAAACACAAGATATACGTGGTTCAGTGAGATGCCTACGTCCATAGCAGAGAAACAATCAAAATCCACTATATGCAATAAGGATTACAAATCACTCCACAGCTCTCTCTATTTTTCTCTAACCCTAAAACATATAAATTGATACAATTTATAGGGTAAAAAACTAATGGGCCAAAACTAACACTACAGGTCCATAAATATCAATTTCGGCACAATTCTGACCCATCAGGATTGCAATGTACTCTCAAGACATAGCAAAGGGCCCGCCCCCCACCCCTGGCTAGGGGTATAGCAAATACAAGACACCTCACAGCAAGGAGAATTGATCTCCTAATGAGAAGATCTCTTGATGCGATATAGCCTTTTATAGCAAGCCAGTAGAAAACTTTCACCTTTGGTGGAGCAAAACATTTCCATAAGCGCATACTGATAGAGCTTTCCCCATTTGAGATAGAGTGGTAGTGAGAAATGATAGACTTGACCGTAAAATGCCCTTGTTTATCGATTGACCACTGAAGAGAATCACTTTGGTTTGGTCTTAAAGAAGTAGTGGAGATGAGTTCCTATAGCTTTACAAGTTCCCATGGTCCCAGATATCACCGAAATTGAATTGTAACGCCCCAAATTTTTAGCCCAAATGATAATACAACAATCATGGCCCTTTCAAGGAAAACCGAATATAAATCTCCAAACTCACATTACATGATACAATAGTTCTTCATGCAACAATACATTAATCCAACAACAAGTAAATAAACAAATAAATACGCCCAAGGATTTACAAGTTTCCAAGGCTTAAGCCTAGTTACACAAAACGGTTATTCAAACCCACACACATACAGCCCTTGGCTTACACACAAAGTCACAGTAATATGAGAGTCTCGTACTCTCAACACACATTTCCTCGCCTTTAGTTAGGCGGCATCACCACATCTTTTCCTGCACAAAAATCCTGTAGGGTGAGCATAAAGCCTAGTAGGAAATTCATAACAAAATATATACATTTTATACAAAACTCAAGAGATGAAATGCACATGCCATGCTATGTCCCTTTTTGAAGATAAATCACATTTTCATCTTTTGAAAACCATCATGCTCAATGATGTCATGCAATTTCAATTGTTCAAAACTTAACAATTTATTTCAAGGGCGGTAAAGACGACTCTGGTAATCCCTAGGTCAGTGTCTACAAGTAAACTATACAAGTGCTACCAATTTGTCATTTTTACAGGTATTAACCGGAAGGCACGACACCTATTCGCGCGGGTTTTCAGTCTTTTACCCCGGACTCTCAGACCAACTTATTCAATATCATCTACACCACCTATCAAGACTTACCAACGTATTTACCCCAAAACCATTCTATGAAAACTTGTTTCTCAACATTCTTTTCTCAATGCAAGTTTTCAAATCAAACTTTCAAAGTTTAATGTAATCAAATGAATTGATATGCCAATAACATAAGATGAATATAAAAACTGTTATTCCAATTCATCGTCCAAGGAATAACACAATTCCCTCTTCTCAAGTGTCCTCAACAATTAGTCATTTCAAGACTATTTCAACGTTTTAAACAATAATTTCTAAAATGAACAATAATTCTCATATTCCCTGAAATTCATCATTTATATAAATATAAATAAGAAATTTTTCAAAGATCCATTTATTTTGACACACAAAATAAATATAACAATATCATTCATGGAATTTCAGTCTCTTAAAAAAAATCCCCAAATTCTAGGTTTTCTCACCAAAACTATACAACTCAAATTTTTTGAAAGAAAAATTTCCAAAATCATATTTTCTTCAATCAACGAAGATCAAAACCCACAAGATCATTTTAAAAGAACAAGAGACGAACCCACTTTCAAAATAGCTCAACTTCTTAAATCAACAATCAATTTTCAAAGCTATCGAAAGATGATTTCAAAAATCATATAGATCTTGCAAAAACGTATATATAACTCTAAGAAAATCCCTCCCTCAAGTTTTGAAAAAGAAATGAGATGAAACCCCCAAAATTAACGGTGTTGAAACTCGATCTTCATCGCACACAACGAAGCCCTTGAGATTATAACCAACTTTGGTGAAGAACTTAGGTCTAAATCCCAATGGATTTGGAGAAATCAAAGAGAGAAGATGACTTCTAGAGAGAGAAGCTCCTGATCTAGAATTTTAGAGAGTTTTAGAGAGAGAGAGAGGACTGAAAAAGTGATCTGAAATATCAGATTCATAAACTGATATAACATGGTCCACTCGAGCGTCAAATACACTAACCCAGTACTTTTGCAGGCAGGTCAAACATCTGAAACCAAACATTCTCCGCTCGAGCGCATAAACGGCCACTCGAGCGGACAAGCAACTTCGAGTGCATTTTGTATTTTTGCTTCGGGGGCGCTGCCCCTCGACCCCACCAGGGCGCCGCCCCCTAGACCCCTGCGAGCTGACCGGGCAGCTCGATCCCTGATCGGCCCAGTCGAAGTGGCAAAATATGAAAGAATGATCGAAATTGGGATCGCTACATGAATTTTACAAGCTAAACCAACACTGTTGAAAGAGGACAGTTTTGCAATTGACTTATTTTTCTGAGTGGAGAGGGAGAAAAGCCGAGGGAAAGTAGTTGATAGAGGCTCAACTCCAATCTATAGATTAGTCCAAAAAATGAATATCACAACCTAATCCTAATTTTAGCACAAGATTGTTGGTCAACAATTCACTGAACTCATCACCACTGCTGTCCACTTCAAGAACGCTTCTCCAACCTTTGGAAATTTGTAATCCATGAAGATCAAACGGCAACCAACTGCTAGGCCTTGTTTCGCATATTTCAACCACTACTTTTCGCCAAAGGGCATTCTTTTTTGTACCATAACACCACCACCATTTGGCAATAAGAGTGGAATTTTTTAGTTTAAGTGAATGAATGCCTAAACCTCCGAACTCTTTCCTATTTGTAACTGATTTTCAATTGGCAACATGGCTGCCGTTTTTATCCTCACTACCTTCCCAAAGGAATCTTCTTTGGAGTTTTTCCATCGCACTCTTCTTTGTTGAACTCGTCTTCTTCAAAGCGTTGTACCCAATACTCAATGGATAAAATTTTACCTTCATGTTTGGAGACAATACTATCAATCAGCTTCCAAACATGATGGTGTTCTTGAATCTCCAATATATGTCCATACCTCTAAATGTATGGCTTTTTCAGAACTCTGATTACTTTTTCCTGTTTCTTCTCTCGAATTCTTTTAGGCAACCTATTACTTAGCTTTTCTTCAACCACATCGAACAAGTCACATGTTTTGAAATATGAAGAGAGAACAATCTCCATTCTCTTGTAATTTGAGAACATCATTTTCTCACACCAAAAATACATATTTGGTGATTCTTCCATGCTAGGCTGCTTCATTGGTGGATGGGCTACAGCTCCATTTTCAAGAAGATGGATAGGAAAATGTGGAATGCTCTTCCATTTGTAGCGTTATGGACTTTGTGGAAAGTAAGGAATGAATATACGTTCAATGAAATCCACCCCAAATGGAACAATATTAGTGAGCTGATTAAGGTTAATGTGGCTCTTTCAATTAAATACAATTGTAAGGAGGTAAGCTATTTTGTTAATGACTTGGTTTCAAGCTTGATGCTATAACATATCATGGTCATTAGCTTTGTGGGTTACTGTTGGGCTGCTGCTGTCCTTATTGTTTTGGGTTTCCTTTGGCCTGCTGTTGTTAGCCCTTAAGATGTTTGTTCTGGTTGATGCCTCTTCAACCTCTGTTTGTGGGGATGGTGATGCAAATGATTTGGCTTGCCCCTTTTTGCCAACCATTGGGTTTGCTTTGATGCTTATGGCACCTCCCTTGTGTTTATTTCCTTGTTTGTTGCTTTATTGATGTTTGATGTAAGGAACTTTCCTTGATTCTTATCAACAAAGTTTAATCTTTGCTGATCAAAAAAAAAAAAATGACTTCCAGGATCGTAGTAGCTCTAATACTACTTTGTTAGAAATAAATTGGCCACACAACAATCACTCACAAATTTGGAAGCGAATTAGAGAAGGAAAATATGCAACTCTTGTATTTCACTCATGTTATTCTCATTGCATTCTCATTATATTCTCCTATTAATTTTTATCCTCATTGCATAAATTGCATGATTATATATAAGATCCTAACATGTAACTCACACACTCACATTAATGCCCACTAACTCTATTATGCTTTGTAACCACTAACACATTAACATACTACTAATGCTCTTAACACACCATTATGCATCATTACATGCATATCATTATTCCTCCATAATTAGCAGAACTAAATATAGGAAATATAACTCCTAATAACAAAAGCAAAGTTTATTATTTTCAACAAGAAGTTGTTTCGAAAAGTAAAAACTAAGCTTTAGTGACAAAATTTTAAAAATGTTGCCAATAATTGAGTACAATGAAAAGAAAATTGTTGTTTCAGTAAGGAATAAACAATTTTCACCAAAGTAATTCCCTTGTGAAATTTTACTACTCCATGTAGGCATAAAACACAATAACAAAAAATAATAATAATCCATCATATCTTAGATATATGAAGCAATGAACGAAGGGTAAGAAAGTGCATAGAAAATTTCTTGTACAAATATTCCTAAAAGTAAAAAAAAGAAAAAAAAAAGCATTTTCATTGTTACATTGTTTGTTATTATTTTCTTTCCAATTTAAGATATTATATGCTTGTATTTAATTTCAGAAAGCACCAAAACACTATTGGATTGGATCAAAGATTTGGCCAAGGAACCAGATATGTATGGTTGGACACCACTTCATTATGCGGCCCAATTTGGTCATGTAGAAAGGGCTAAACAGCTACCAGATGTGGATAAATCCATTGCATATGTGATTGCAGACAAAGATGATAAGCAGACAGCTCTTCATGTAGCAGCTAGTCAAGGACATGTCGGCGTAATGAAAGAGCCTCTATCACAATGTCCTGATTGTTAGGAGATGGTTAATGATAAAGGCCAAAATATTCTTCATGTTGCAGTGCAGAATGAGAACAAAAAGGCAGTCAAATTCATCTTAGAAAATTCCCAGCTTAGTAGCTTTGTAAATCATAAAGATATTGATGGGAACACCCCTCTCCACCTTGCTGCTACTGCGTTGTGTGCAAACCAACTCATATACGATGAAAAATCAGATAGGATGGCCTTTAACAAGGGAAATCAAACTCCGCTTGATGTAAGAACACAGCATGAAAACGTAACACTAGTAACCCAGGTAACCCTTCTCAGTCCGAGCGATGGCAGGAATCTTGTGCACAAGTCCACCCTATTGCTTTTTTAATTCATTAATGTTTTCCAAACTGATTGAAGAATGATTGTTGCATGCAGGCTCTCAAAAGGTCAGAATCAAAAAAATTTGGTCCTTCACTAGGTTGCCGAAATATAATTAGTGACGATAATGAGAATTTAATGAAGAAAATGAAAGCTAATGATAAGCGTAAAAGGTTTACACCCAAAGACATCAAGAAAACTGAGGACACCCATATGATACTGGCTGCACTTATAGCAACTGTGACTTTTGCAGCTGGTTTCACCATGCCTGGTGGCTACAATGGAAACCAGGGCCCAACTCAAGGCATGGCAATTCTAACAAGAGAAACAGCTTTCCAAGCTTTTGCGGTGACAAATACCATTGCCATGATATTATCCACTTCTGCTATTGTAACTTATTTTTTGGGGCTCCATCTAAGGATCATGATAAGCTTTTGAAACACCATAATTCCACTGCTAATCTTGTAATGGTTGCGACTGTAGCAATGGTGCTGGCATTCATTACAGGCACATATGTATTGCAATATATCAATTTTTTAGAGTGAATCTGGATTGTTTCTCGAAATACTCTGCTAGAGATATATTAGCCTCTTGATTATATTTTTAATCAAGTTCTCACTCAAACTTCGAAATCATAGAGAATTTTTGGTATCAAAGCTCTCAATCACCATATGTACTTTTTTGTTCCATCTCATTTCTCATTTATTATTTTGTACCCAAAAAGTTAATTTTACAAGTAGTTGAGTAATAAGTAATTGCTTATCAGATGATTATTGGTTCACTTACGAAAGGGATTAGATTTAGTGGGTTGTCTTACAATTTCTTTGTAAGTTAATGGAATAGTAGTGCCCTGTATTATGTTTTACTCCTAATTTCAATTGTTGTCTACCTAATATTTGCTTGTGTAGCTTATAGTCAAAGTGATCATTGCTATTCAAGTCCAAAAATTAGACCCACTTTTCAAGTCTAATGATGTGGCAACCAATTCGAATATCTAAGGCAACACGCCCTCTCATACTTTCCCTAATCATCAACCAATCATATTACTTACACATCATTGACTCTACAAAATAGGTCTAAAAGGTGGGCCAAGTTTGGTGAAATTGTTAATAGAAGAAGATGGTGAGTTTAAATATGAAGCCAACATTGCAGGTGAAGCTCCACTTTACATCGCTACAGAGAAAGGAAGCCATGCAGTGGTGTCCGAAATCTTGAAACCTTTCAGAGCTCCTACTTATGGTGGCCCTGGTGGCACTGCTTTGCATGCTGCAATAATTTCTAGCAACCAAGGCACTAGTCATTAATTTTAAACAAATTTTCTTTGGATTTTATTTGTTTTTTACTAGACAAAAAAAATAGTGGATTCATATTAACAGATACTAGTATAAAACCTGTGATATGCACGGTCTTAGACATTAATTCAAAATTGTATTTTGAAAGTAAATGGTACATTGAATATATATATATATTAACAAAAAATAATCAATATTAAGTATTTAAATTTAGCAAATCCGAAGTCATATTTAGCGCACATGCACATGTATTTGTTAAAATATTTAGATTGACTCAACTTTATAATTTGTATAAAAATGCCCATTCTTGTGTTTGAATCATAAATTTGAGTAAAGAATTCACTATCCAAATACAACCTAAAGAAAAGTCACTCTTTTTATTATTATTCTTCTTCTTCTTCTTCTTCTTCTTCTTCTTTCCAACGAAGGAAATAACAGTTATTCCAGTCAACCATGTAATGGTATGGAAAGGGTGTAAATAACTGGAGAGTGAACTTCTAGTAGAAATATTGCTAAAGAAAATGAATGATTTTGGTTTTGATTTTGAAGTTAGTTTTTTAATTTCTATTTAATTTATTACATTATATGCTCTATATTTTCATTTTAGGAAACACAAATACATTATTGGATTCAAAGAAAGATTTGGTGAAGAAACCAGACATGTACGGCTAGATGCCACTTCACTATGCGGCCCGATTTGGTCATGTACAAAGGGCTAAACAGCTACTACAATTGGATAAATACATTGCATATGTGATTGCAGACAAAGATGATAAGAAGACAACTCTTCATGTAGCAGCTACTCATGGACATGTCGGTGTAATGAAAGAGCTTATTGCTAAGGATACTATCTCTACTGAAGTAATCAAGAGTGAAGGCACATTATAAGGCATACTCTGCCACACTAGGATAGCTAGATATTGTTATAGAGTTAGATAAATACGGTTAGAATATTAGATATACAGTTAGATAGTTAGAGCTTATACATTGGTGTATATATACATATGAATGTATTGTTCTAATAGTCAATGAAGATATTTCTCTGTTCTTGATTATTCATCATGGTATCTGAGCTTCGAGCTCCAATGAGCATTCGCTCACCAATTTAATCTTCATTTCATTCAAAGAACTTTGATCTTGATCAAGCAGTTTCAATGGAGTCTTCTTCTTCTTCAACCATCCCTCCCAATCTTGCAATGTTAATCTCTAATCTAAGCTTGTTAGCTTTAGATAAAACTCTCTCTAGAATGAACTATTATTTTGTATTGAATTTTTCTCTCTTATTATTCATATCATTTGCTCATAGGCTTACATCCTTTTACATAGAGAAGGTTATACATAAGTTCAATGAACAAGATCCATGAACCTAAACAACCTTACAACTAACTAGGTACATGAATATAATCTAGACAATGAACTTAATAAATATAAAATACATGAATATAAAAATAAATGAATACAAAGAATGTATGAACTCAATGTATCCAATGCATGCAATGTATCCAATGTATCTAATGTAAATATGGCATTAATTTTAACACTCCCCCTTAATGCCATATTGTGTGACACCCAACATTTCTCTAAAAAATTCAAACTTGTCCCTTGGTAGAGCTTTAGTGAAGATGTCCGCAACTTGATCTTCCGTCTTGCAATACTTGATTTGAATCTCATCATCTTCCACAGCTTCTCTAATGAAATGATGTTTGATAGCAATGTGTTTGGTACGAGAATGGTATACGGGATTCTTTGCCATAGCAATAGCAAACTTGTTATCATACATAATTGGAGTAGCTTCACCTTGCTTCTCACCCAAATCATCCAAAATTCTTCTTAGCCAAATTGCTTGTGTAGTTGCCAATGATGCTGAAATATATTCGGCTTCAGCAAATGATTGTGCCACAGTTTGTTGTTTTTTGCATGACCATGAAATTACGCCCGATCCAAGAGAAAATGCATATCCAGAAGTGCTTCTCATATCATCAATACATCCGGCCCAATCACTATCACAAAATCCAAGTAACTTTGCATCAACAAATTTCTCATAAAAAATTCCATAATCAATTGTACCTTGAATGTATCTCAACACTCTTTTTGCAACCCCAAAATGAATTTGGCTTGGACTATGCATGAACCGAGACAATAAACTTGTAGCATACATGATGTCCGGTCTGGTAGTAGTTAAGTACAACAAACTTCCAACCAAACTTCTATAACAAGATGTTTCAGATTCTTTGCTTCCATCTTCCTTTGACAACTTTTCATTCACAATCAAGGGAGTAGCAACTGCTTTGCAATTCTTCATTTTAAATTTCTCAAGAAGTGTTTCAGCATACTTCTTTTGGCAAATAAAAACACTGCCATTGTTTTGGTTGATTTCCATGCCTAAAAAATGATGTAATAGCCCCAAATCACTCATTTCATATTTCTTCATCATCTCCCTTTTAAAATCTTCAATCAATTTTTCATCACTACCGGTAAAAACCAAATCATCAACATAAAGTGAAACAATGAGAATACCGGTTGTACCTCGCTTCTTGATGTACAAAGTTGGCTCACTTTTGCTTCTTTGAAAACCCTTTTCATTGAAGTATGCATCAATTTCACTATACCATGCCCAGGGTGCTTGCTTTTGGCCATATAAAGCCTTCTTCACCTTGCACACTTTATCTTCTTTGCCTTTGACAATAAAGCCTTGAGGTTGATCAACACACACCTCTTCTTCTAATTTTTCATTCAAAAATGTTGATTTTACATCAAGTTGGTGCAAGAACCAACCCTTTTGAGCCGCCAAAGCAATGATTGCTCTAATTGTTTCAAGTTGAGCCACAGGAGCAAAAGTTTCTTGGAAATCAATTCCAAGTTGTTGTGAATACCCTTTTGCCACAAGTCTTGCTTTGTTCTTTTGAATAGAGCCATCCGAATTAAACTTTGTTTTGAAAATCCACTTCACACCAATTATTTCTTTTCCTTTCGGTTTCTCCACTAACTCCCAAGTCTTGTTCTTCTCAATCACATGAATTTCATCTTCCATAGCTTTCTTCCATGCTTCATCTCTAATTGCCTCTTCAAAATTTCCAGGTTCAACAATGCATAAATTGCATCTTGCATACACATCACTAAGACTCCTAATATTTCTTGGAGTTGAACTTGGAGATGAAGAACTTGAACTTGAACTTGGAGAAGATTGTGAACTAGCAATTGGTAATTGCCTCTTCAAAATTTTCAGGTTCAACAATGCATAAATTGCATCTTGCATGCACATCACTAAGACTCCTTATATTTCTTGGAGTTGAACTTGGAGATAAAGAACTTGAACTTGAACTTGGAGAAGATTGTGAACTAGTAATTGATGACCCTCTTTGTGGAGATTCAAGAGTTGCAACATCTTCAACTTGTGGACTTTCCGATTCTTCATTGAATGCAATGCTTTGATCTTGGACTTTATTTTCCTTCCAATCAAAAGACGCCTTCTCATCAAAGAGAACATCTCTACAAATAATCACCTTCTTTTGATCCAAACTGAAGTGTCTATAGCCTTTGAATTTCGAGCTATAACCCACAAAGATGCATTTTTTACTATTTTCATCAAGCTTGTGCCTCACTTCTTTTGGAACATGAGCATAACAAATGCGACCAAACACCTTCAAGTGATTCACCGATGGTTTCCTTCCACTCCAAGCTTCAAATGGATTTTTTTCCTTAAGAGCTTTTGTAGGACATCTATTCATCAAGTAAACTGCTATATACACGGCCTCACCCCAAAAAGTTTTGGGTAGCCTCTTCTCATGTAGCATGGACTTGGACATCTCCTCTATGGTTCGATTCTTCCTTTCTGCCACACCATTTTGTTGTGGAGTGTACCCAACAGTCAATTGCCTTTCTATTCCAATATCTCCATGAGTTAGTGTATCCATGGGTCTGCACACATCGGTATGGACAAATTCCAATGGTGCTTTAGCTCTCCATGCTTTCTCCTTTGGAAATGACTCTCGGTGATGCTTTCCAAGTGCACAACCTTCACAAATATGTTGCCCTTTATGAATGGTTGGCAACCCAAAAACCATATTCTTTTGTTGTAGATGCTTCAAGCTTTGAAAATTCGAGTGCCCAAATCTTCTATGCCAAAGCCATGAATTATCAATCACATCCATCTTCAAAGCCGCATTTTTGCTATACCGGAAATGAAAGGAAAACTTCTATTCTTCTCTATCTTGATTTTTGCCACAACTTGGCTTTTCCTTCCTTTTTCAAAAATTTTGCAAAAATCGTCTTCAAAGTGAACAAGGTATCCATGCTCCATAAGTTGTCCAACACTTAACAAATTTTGCTCTAAGTCTAGAACTAGGAGAACATCGGAAATGAATCTCGTACCCATCTTGGTTTCTATAGCAATAGTACCTTTTCCTTTTGTTTGGACTAAGGCACCATTCCCTATTTTTACTTGAGAACTGGAGGAAGCATCCATTTTCACAAAAATGTTCTCATCTCCTGTCATGTGATTGCTACATCCGCTATCAAGAAACCATACATCCTTGTTTTGATCCGATTCCTTGTGACAAGCATAGAACATGTGCCCTTTATTTTCTTGCTCCTTGGAAAAATTAGCTTGTTGAGTGCTCTTGACTTGGCAATCCTTCTTGACATGCCCAAATTTGTTGCAATTGTAACATTTTGGCTTTCTCTGAAACCAACAATCTTTATCAACACGACTACTTCAGTAGTAAATTCCACACTTTTGTTGAGTGGACTCTTCATTTTCCTTTCTTTGAAAATTAGACCTTCCTCTTCCTCTTGCATTTCTTGCTCTTCCGGTTGCATTTCTTCCTCTTCCTCTTCCTTGGGAATTAGAGGTACTAACATTAAGCTTGGATTGAAAGGCACTTTCAATTGACTTTTCAGAAGATTGCCTACTCAACCTTTGCCTCAAATGTTTTAATTGAACCCATCAAATCTTCAATACTCAAACTTCAGCAAGATCATTAGTTTCTTCAATGATACGTCAGCAACAATAGGATTGTATTTCTCGGCAAACTTATCAAAAAAATCAACAACTCTTTTATTAGTAATATTATCCCCATAAATTTTCATTTGGTTTACAAGTTCCATAACCCTAGAAAATATCCTTCAACAACTCATATCCTTCATCTTCAAATTTTCAAAATCTCTTTTCAATGATTGAAAGTTTGATGGTTCTTAACCTTCAAGTTGCTCATACTCTTTCTGAAGAATATCCCAGTCCTTCACTTTTGTTGCATGATAATTCTTAGAAAGATTGCTTCTGAAACTCCTTGTTGAATGAAAGAGAGAGCCTTTGAACCTTCTTCCTTGCTCTTTTAATTGGTTCTTTTGGGATTTGTCAAAGGTCCTTCATCTTCAGTTCTCGAACATATTTTCAACAAGATGCTCAAAGATCTCGTGTAGACAAAAATAGTTCTCCTTTTCACATACCAAAAATCAAAATTTTCACCATTAAAGATAGGAGTAGATACATTTGATTGTTGAATTTTGCCATGGACTTCGGTTTGTTCTTCTTCGGGGCTTGTT